TGTGTATTGTTTAAGATTTCAAAGTCTAAAGTATCTTCAGAAACTAAGAGCAATGGCTCACTAGTGTTGTGGTCAAAAGGAAGATAGGTGCATAGAAATTTGTTTATATTGTGAGCGGCTTGACGTGTGCTGACAATATGTGTAGTATTATAGAATCTTTCAGTATCACCATCTATATTAATTTTTGATTGTATGATTCTTTTGGATCTGTTTGATAGTCGGCCAACTCTTACTTCCTGTAGGATATTATAGAATTCAATATCATTTTGTTGACGTTGTAAAATAGTTAAATATAGCAGAAAGAAAAGTAACCATGCCAGGGAGTGAAATACATGTTTCGGTTTTACAGGAGGTAGCTGGGCTAAGTCTCTCACTACTAAAGTAGGTATTCCTTCAAATACAAGATTATTGCTATGAAGTTTGGCAAAAATATTACTGATGAAGGTAAATAAGTCTCTATCTACTATAAAAACTTCTTCTATGATTATAAAATCTGTTTTTTTTAGATTTGTTTCATCAGCAATATTGGAGTGAATTAGGGTTTCATATTGTTCATCACAAAAACGGATTTTTAATACAGAATGTATAGTTCTTCCACCGATGTTATGAGCTGCAACTCCAGTAGGGGCCATGAGTAAATAATTTTTGTTTTTTGACTGGAGAAAAGAAATTAGCTGATATAATAGAAATGTTTTGCCTGTTCCAGCTAATCCTGTTAAAAAAAAATAAGGGTATCTTCCATTAGATAATTTTCTCCATATGTTACATAAGGTGGAGTAGATTTGATATTGTTCAGTATTTATAGATAATAGAAATCGGTTGTCTGGGTAAAGTTGATGTTTTTCTAATGAAAGAAATTGATTGAATATAAGGTCTGATAGATCATGGTTTTTTAAATCAAGGAGGAGAGTTTTTAATATAGAAGTATATGATTCAAATAAGTGATTTTTTTGGGTTAAATAGCTTTTGCGAAGAGATTTAGTTGCTTAACGATATCTTATTGGAAACATTGCTTGAAAGTGGTCTCTATAGGTTTCAAATCCTCCAAGTAGATCTTGTTCAGATCTTGCGGGGATTTTCATTATAAGATGTTAGAAAAAAAAGGAATCGCCATTTTCAATTTTGTAAAAAGTGAATCTTAGAAAGATTGGTGGTTTTCTATCTATTTTTTTGATCTCGGCAGCGAAATGTGTTTGAGTTATTGCTAGGTTGTCTAGTTCTAATTGTGTAATTACAAAAGTAGTCGGGATATGTCATGTTAGTAAAAATTTCATGATCGGGACGATCAAAATATTTGTCAATCACATCATCCCAATATAGAACTACTTCGTCTTCATCGTTTTCATCATCAAAACTGTTGAATAATTCGTTTAGCAGGTGAACAGGCTTAATGGACCTTGGTCTAAGATCGGAAGGAGCAGAAGGAAGATAGAGTATCACGACAGAACACCTTGTTAAAGGATATTGTAATAAAAGGACCATCAACTCTATAGCGTCTAATCTACAGGCTATAACATGTCTTCTGTATTCATCTGTTTTGTCAATATCGAAAAGCTCAGAAGGTTCTGCTTTTGTTACATATTTTGTCATATATTTAGCAAACCTATTAGATGTGATATATTGAAAATTTATATGTCCTCTCCAGATTAATAATGTTTCAAGATGGTATGGAACAACCATTCTATCTTCTTCTTTAGTGCGGCGATAGATATATCGTAAGTTATCAGATATGCAATACGTTTTTTCAAACAAGGGTTGAGAGAATCCTTTAAAGCATTGTTCTTCTGTGTAGTCTTAAATAATATTATAAATAGAATTAAAAAATGTAATCAATTAGTTGGTAATAATTTAAAAAACGATTATGGTTAGCTAATTGATTAGACAATTAATCAATTAATAAATTAATTGTTAATCAATTAATTGATATAAGTTTGAATTATAGCTGATTACTGATTATAATGTTTGATTTTTTCTATATTAATTATTAGATTTTGGCCTCGAAAATCTTTGATATATAATTAAATAAGTTAAGTAAATTGTAATAAAAGTTATATTAACTTTTTTCTATATATTTCTAATTTGGAATTTGTTATCAAATATAATTTTAAGTTTCTAGGTTTTAGCATAGCTATGTTGTGTTGTTAAGACGAAAATATAAAAACTAATCAATTAGTTAACTAATCGATTAGTTGTTCAATCAATTAACAGGTAATTGATTAACAGTTGATTAATCGTTTTAGTTATTTAAATTTAACAATTTGAATAATTAAATGATTAATTAATTATTAAGATTAAATAATAACCTGCTGGTCTGCATCTATAATCACAATAATGTATTTGAAAAGTTGTGACCAAAGAATATAATTCTGGGTCTGTATAAGGATCGGGAACATCGGCACAGATAGTGTTAAGTGAGATTAACTTAGGAGTTTTTTTTTTCTATATAGGCGAATCTGTGTGTATAAATTGTTCCTCTATTTTGAAACTCATCATGTTCAAAGAAGTGTTCTCATTTTCCCCAGCCTACAAGATTAGGGTTTTTCCATAACTTATTACGAATATTATTCAAGTAGTTACGATAAAAGAGATAGACATGTAAAAGGCGATTAGTCAGTAAGGAATTGTGATTATCAGTTGAAAGTAATATATTTCTTAAGTGGGGCCACTTGTCTTCGGCCATTGTCATTGTGTAAAATATCTGTGGTAGGCCGTAAGCATGTATCATCGTATTGACCTGTTGCTGTTTCTTTTTAAAAAAAGGTGTAGCAGTTCTGAGATAGGATGGGATTGTTGTAGTTATTGATTCGTCAAGGATGGGTTGATTATTATATGAACTTGAGGCAATTAGGTCTGCTTTTGTGGGGTAATATTCGCGATTGACGTTTCGTGTGGCTAATAGGCGATTTTGATTTTGAAAATTTCTTTTTTTTTTTTAAATTTAGGTATAACCAATGTGGCCAATACCAATGTAAGCGAAAACAGGGATCAGGGCATAATAATCTAAGCTTTATGTATTTTCTGTAAGAATTTATAGATGGTTGAAAATTTAAGTGTCTTTTCATATCTTCATAATGACCACGACTTCTGGGAAATAGATCAGGGAAAATTAAGGCCTCTAAATCAGGGTTATTGAAGAGAATGTGTAAGGCTGTATTAATATTATTTGTTATAGTTCCAGCTATTAGTCGACCATGGTGAGAATCTTGATTTTGAATTTCGCATAGAAAAGAGGTATTGAGAACAACCAAATCTGGTAGATGAGGCCTTTTGTCTGGAAGAACACTTCGGTATGTGTCAAAAGAAGTTATTTGATTGGTTATTGATTGCCTCGCTAAGGGTAATGGAGTTGAAATGGATTCTCTGGTGTTGGGTGTGTAGTAATTAAGTTTGATTGATATTTTCTAATGAGATTATTGTTTCTTTTAAACCAGTCGGAAGCAGAAATGAGAGAGGGATGAAACTAAGTCGGAGGCTCATTGGCATTTAGATAGGCACCAATTGATCCGGAGTATATTTGCAAAGTTCGATAGTTATAAGTAATTCCTATTGTTCCTTGTAAATTGCGATAATTTGTGTATAGGTTCGTACTAGCAGCACGGCCTAATGAGCAGTTTAGATGAATGGGCGAAAGGTATCTTCTATGTAACATAAGAACATCTTCAATTTCAGAAGAAGTAGGTGTTAATATTGGAGGATACTGACGTGTTTTTTGATTTTTGCATGATCTACAAACAGCAATTTGTTTGTTATTTTGCCTATTTATTCTAGTATATACGGGAATATCAAAAGTAATAGTTAATGGATAAGGTTGATCATTATTGTTAGGGATCCAGTTGACAGAAGATTTCATCATGAGTATCGAATAGTAAGCACAAGGAATTTGCAGATAATCATGTAAGATTTTTGTTTGAAATTCAATGAGAAGGTGTTTAAGATTAGGGCATTGAGAAAAAATACTAAGGTTAGGAGGTGGTAAAGAGTTTATAGATATAAATCTATTATTATCTGAAGCAGGGGCATTTAATAAGTTTTGATTTATTTCATTTCTGAATATGTATGAATCAAATGAATGGTTGCTCTGAGAGTTAGAAGAATTATCAGAATTCCCAGGTGTTTCATATTGAAAGGTATGAAGTGGAAAACTTTGAATTTCATAATTGGGCATTAATAATAGTTTATTTGTAAGAGTCGATTTTAAAAAAGATTTTAGAAAATTGGATTGGAAATATGATTCATGAATCGACATATATATATAGTATTATTTATTTATTTATTTTTATGTTTTATAATTTTTACAATATAATAATTGCTTTTTAATATAGTAAGCATATATTTACACTTTTGTAAGAAGAAATAGAGAGGTAGATTAATAAAACGGGTTGTAAGATGATTATTATTTTTTTTATTAATTGCTTATAATGAATTTTTTTACGATTTTATTGATTAAAAATTTATAGTATTGAAGTAGAATTGGAGGTATTAGAATATCAATGAACTTATAGTATACTATAGAATTGATATAAATATTCGAATTTTATATGACATGAAGGTGACGTGAAGAGGTAGCAATTTTTTGATGTTTCAAATATTTGGATCTATATAGTTAACTCTTTTATAACGAATTTTGGTTCTGGTTATAAAAAAAGTTCGCTATATTGTATAAATTAAGTTTTTTTAAGAAATTTTATATAGAATTAAGTTATTATATCCAGAATTCATTATAAAGAGGTTCGTTATAAAGAGAGTTAATTGTATATTGAAGCTCATAATGTGTGTAATATTTTCTTGAATGGTAAGTTTTATTAATTATAGTGATTGGTGATATAATTATTCATGCTAAAATAATTTTGCTTTAATATTAAAAATTTATAATGGTTATTTAGTAATTAAATTTTTATTTAGAAGATTTATTGAATGAAGATAATTTGAGGTATTATTTAAAATAATACATTTAGGTGTTATTTTGAGTTTATATAGCATTAAGCATGCATATTTAACATTTATTTTCTGATAACTTCTTGATTAGTGGATTCTTCAACAAGTTCATGTGTTGAAGAGATGCCATTTTTAACCTGCGCAACAGTGTTCATGAAATTCATTGTTGTCACTGTTTCCCTTGATGAATTTGATCTTGAGGTAGACGTTAAGTTTACTCTTTGCCTTTTATTCAGAGAATTCATAGCTGTATATTTTTCTTCAATACTTTCAAGGAGGGTATCGAAATCTTGTTTTGATTTTTGTTTTCCTTTTTGTTTTCCTTTATTAGAAACGTTGGATGCTTTGGAATCGGACCTAGCATAGTTCCATTTTATATCTGAAGCAATAATATGAAGTGTATTTTTTTTACCGATTTTTAACTGACCTATAACAGACATAACTGTCTTTTTTATATTATTTTTGATAATGTCATATCGGTTGTTTGAATTGTCATAGGATACGGTAATTTTTGTTTCGATGTTTTTGTGGTTGTTCACTCCGTTATACAATCTTTTTGTTAATATAAAGCATTCTTTATTTCCATCAAGGGATAAGAAAGAATTTTGTAAAATAGGTGCAGAGAATAAAAGGAGAGGAGAGGCGTAAAGGAGGTCTTTAGGAGTAAGCAAAGTGTCATTAGCAAAGAAAGAAATAGGTACAGTTTGAATGAGAGTAAGCTTTATTATTTTATAGTATAATGTTAGTAATATACAAAGATACAATATGTTAATAAGAATTAATAAGTTTTAAAATACATATTCGGTATCTTCATAAACGTAGTGTCCGATCATGAGAACAATGGAATTTTTTTCAAAGTCTGCGATTAAAGTTTCTGGAGTTGCTGTAAAACCTTTAAAAGTAAATTCTCTAAATTTATCATTTTCGTTATTCACACGATATAGGGCACTTCCAGTTAAGAATTTTTCGCTTGCAGAAATGGTTTTAACAAAGCAGAAAGATACAAATACTGAGGACATAGTTTTGTTTAGTAAACAAAAAATTTTTTTATAAATAGAAAATCGAGTTAATTTTAGTGTACTAGATAGATTATTAGAAGAGTTTAAAGGGTAAAGTTTTGATTTTTATTTTATTAATTGTCTCTTTTATATGTTTGAGAATATTTTTAGGGAAACATTTTAAGTGAGCGATTTATAATATGGTAAAAAAATCATAATGAAGGTTATGCTGATTGCGCTTCTTTTTTTGAAATTTTCTTACAAGTTGAGATTGCAATATTAGAATAATAATATTTGGAGAAGATTTTAGTAGCACTTCGTATGTATTTCATTTTCATATATACTTAAATTGTATCATTTTTAATTTTTTTCTTGTTATTACATGATAGTAACGGGTAGGGTTCCTAGGTTCAGTTCAGTTCAAATTTAGGTTCAATGAACCTGAACTGAACCTGAACTTGAACCACAAATTTTGCAGATCTTTGAACCTGAACCTGAACTGAACTTTGAATTTATGAACCTGAACTGAACCTGAACTTAAAGTTCAGGTTCA